ACACTGGAGCAGTTGCTGGCCCAAGTGCGCGATTTGCAGGCTCGAGTCGAGGGAAAAAAAATTGGAGGCTCAAGGGGACATCCGTTCTCGCAGCACATTCTGGATGCCGACCTGCCGCAAGGTTTTTGCGATCTAAACATAAGTTATGACGGGCCGACCGATCCATCTCGTCATATGAGGAGTTTCGAGAATATGGCGGTTATGCATCGTTATAATGACCCAGTGCAATGTCAAGCTTTTCTAACGACCTTGCAGGGATCCGCGCAAGATTGGTTTCATCAATTGCCATCAGGAGCCATCAAGGACTTTGATGGATTCAGTTCGAGCTTTCTCAATCAATTTGCAAGTGTCAAACCGCAAGAGAAATCGTATCTGACCTTGATGGGTATAATACACAAAGAAGGCGAGTCTCTGCGAGACTATGTGGAGAGATACACGCGCGCGTGCATCGAGGTGCCCAGGGCATCGGAGGAGATAAAGGCGGGGGGGTTTGACTCGAGGGTTGCTACCGGGCTTATGCAGGAGTTCTTTGGCAAAGCGCCCGGGTAGAACGTTCGATGAAGTATTGGGAAGATGTGCGAAGTACATGAATGTCGAGGAAGCGGAAGCCTACTTCTTGCAAACGATTAAAACAAGTAAAGCTGACTCTTGGTATGAGAGGTGGGAGAAGAAGAGTTCCTCGACTGGGGAAAGAAAGGGGTCCCCACGAGCATAAAGAGAAGGGCGATCTAGGGATTGGAGGCCGACTCAATACACCCCTTTGTCGGACCCTCAAGCGCGAACTTTGGAGGTGATGGAAAGGGAAATTCATGACAATGTCGTCAGATGGCCCAAGACGAGGAAGGATGGACCATCGAGACCAAAAAGTAATCTATACTGCCGATTTCATAAGGATTATGGGCGCAATACTGACGACTGCAGACATCTTAAGGACGAGATCGAGAGGCTGATTAAAGTAGGACACTTGAAGGAATTCATATACAAGGATCGGGAGAAGTCGAGCAGGAGGAGAGAAAGGAGCAGGAGCCCTCGCAAGAGGGCGGGAACGCTAGAGAAGAAGGAGCTTCCTCAGAAAAGGGGAGTCATACATATGATATTCGGTGGATCGACTGATGGAGATTCGAATCGAGCAAGGAAGGCGTATGCTCGAGGACGCCATGGGAAAGTCGAGGTACAACAAGTCAACGAAAATGGTCCAGTAATGAACTTTGGGCCAGCAGACGTGGGAGAGATCGAGAGACCTCACAATGATGCGTTAATGATAACGGCCCAAGTATCAGGATACGAAGTGCAGAGAGTGTTTGTCGACACTTGGAGTTCAGTGAATGTGATCTTCTATGATTGTCTCAAAAGGATGGAGCTAGACATACAACTCACACCCCTCCATACATCGCTATTTGGTTTCAATGGTTCGGAGGTCGCGCCCCTAGGGGAGACTATGCTCGCTGTCGTCCTAGGGGAAGGCGACTTGCGAAAGGTATAAATGGTAAGATTCGTGGTAGTCGATGTCGAGTCGGCTTACAATGTGATCCTGGGAAGGCCAGCGCTTAATGCATTTCAGGCAGTGGTGTCAACTTACCACATGAAGTTGAAATTCCCGATCAGAGATCGAGTGGGAGAAGCTCGAGGCGATCAAAAGCTGTCGAGGACTTGTTATCAAATCGCTGTGAAAACCAACCAACGGGCCGAAGTTAAAGAAGAAAAGAAGCCAATGTCGAGCGAGAAGAGGCCAAGGAGTAGCGATCTTGAACCACACGGGGAGTTAATGGAAATACAAATTGGAGAAACGAAGGAGCAGACCACCAAGGTTGGGAAAGATTTGGAAGACAAGCTACGAGACCAACTTATCGCATTGCTAAAGGAGTTCAGGGATATTTTCGCTTTTACCCCTGAGGAGCTGACGGGGATCGACCCCGCCATTATGGAGCATAAACTCAATGTCGAACCCCTCAGAAAGCCAGTAAAACAAGGACTAAAACACCATGGTGGAGAAATCGACAAAGCCATTGAGGTCGAGGTGGATAAGTTGTTGCGAGCGGGGCATGTCAAAGAAATCCAATTCCCCGAGTGAATATCCAACACGATGATGGTAAGGAAGGCGCTAAACAAATGGCGCATGTGCATCGATTTTCGTGACTTGAACTTGGCGTGTCCCAAAGATCATTATCCCTTACCACGAATTGATCAGCTAGTCGACTCCATGGCTGGTTGCGAATTCCTAAGTATGATGGATGCATCTCAGGGATATCATCAGATTCCGTTGGCCCTTGAGGATCAGAGTAAAGTGAGTTTTGTGACGAGCAAAGGGACGTATTGCTATGTCGTCATGCC